CATTGGATGGTTGAAATGAACAATCAAAATCTGTGGTCTCTAAATGTGTGGTGCGGGATTTTGGGCGACACCATAATTGGGCCCTTTTATTTTGATGGCACTCTCAATGGTCGCAGGTATGCGGAATTTCTTGCTGGCACATTGCAGCATGATTTGTTGGGTGACATTCCACTAGCAATAAGGAGGAGATTGTGGCTACAACAAGATGGCTGCCCAGCACATTATGCTGCGGTATCTCGTGCGATTTGTGACCAAAAATTCCCTGGGCGATGGATTGGAAGAGGAGGTTGTGTGGCGTGGCCAGCACGATCACCCGATTTGACCCCTCTTGATTTCTATCTTTGGGGTCGACTTAAGAATTTAGTTTATAAACATCGACCAACAACAAAGGAAGAAATGAAGAACAGAATTCAAGAAGCGTGTCAGAATTTAAGTGCAAGAGAAATTTTAAATGCGGTAGATAGTGTAAGGCTCCGGCTTGAAAAATGTGTTGCTCAAAATGGTAGACAATTTGAACATTTATAATCTTTATTATCTTGATTTTGTTAATTTTTTATTAGATTGAGCGTTTTGTGTCGTTTTGTCGTCCAAATAATTCCTTTCCATAGTTATTTTATTCATTTGTTTAATAAGAACTGGTATTTTTACTTTAATTTATTAAGTTTTATTATTTAGTGTTTTGTAATATTCTTCTGTGGTAAAAAAAACTCCTTGTTATTTTATTCATTTTGTTAGTAAAAACAATTTCTTGTTATTAACCAGCCATTTCTAAATTACACGATTTTTCAAAACGACGAATAGCGACATCTATTTGTCAACTTAAATAACACCGGTAAAAAGTACCAACAATTAGGGTTTATTATTTCGAAAACGATTAGCAATATAAAAATTTTTTTCAAGCGAAAGAGATTTCTATTGAAGAGTTCTTTACGATGATATCGTAATTGACCCCTCTTTACATATAAAATATTAAAGTACTACTCAATTGCACCCACTTCCGGTTGTTGTTGGTCGGTCGTAACACACTATCTAGAAGGAGGGTGTCTGCTTTAGTTGACGAATTTTTTATTTCAACTCTCTAGGACTCACCGTTTCCGAATAAATCGGCTGGTACGGGTGGTCTGGGACACCCTGTACGTGTCCCTGTTCTGTGTCGGTTCTTATGTGAATCACCCTGTATATGAGGAGAAGTCTTAATATAAGAACTCTAAACAAGAAAACTTGTATATGAAAATGAAAATGTTTCGTATAATAACGGAAAAAACTAGAACATACATATTTGGATTAAAAGACAGAAAGGACTAAAAACTTCCTAAATAGTCATTTTGCCCATTTTAAATCGTAACAGTGTGCGCCGGTGGCAGTAACGACAAGTAGGAGCCACTAGACGGAACGTACACCCCAATTCCGTGACCCACTTTGCGTCTTAATGAACAAGCAGCCATAATTGCGCCATTAATGAATTTTCTGGGCGCG